ATTATTATTATTATTATTATTAAAGAAGAGGGTTGTGAGAGTCGAGGGGGCCTGATGGATTAGGACAGCCCAGTGTGTGCGCGTTGCAGGAGAGGGCAGCCCTTTCGCAGCGGGCAGGGAAGGGCTTCGGAGACAGCGCTTTATTCCCGTCGCCGTCCTCTGACGGCACAGCCGGATCCGATCCGATCTCCCTGGCCCAGTTCACCAGCCCGCGGGCCACCCGCAGCTCGTATTCCTCAAGCTCAAGGCAGGGGCTGTGACCTGTGACCTTCTCCTGCCTCTCTCTCTCTACAAGCGCTGGAGGAGCAGGGACCCAGCGCCACCCGTGCGGGTGGGGACTGTTTGTAAGGAAGGAAGGCAGACGTTGGCATCGCAGCGTGCCGGCTGTAGGAGCGCGGTGTACAGGACAGCCAAGCCCACAGCGACGCCTGTGCAGGGTCCCCGTCAGTTCGGGGGGTAGCTGATTTACAGACTGAGGGGCTTCTGCTCAGATGGACTGGGTGACGTCTATGACTGTTGACTCGGCACTCACCTTGTGAAGGACCTCAGTCAAGATTCTCCAGGGGGTGACAAGCTGTCCTGCCGGGATTCGTTCCTGTTGAATAAAGGAGATGATTCAGTTTCATGCGGCGCGTCGGTCTCTCTAAAGAGCCCCCCGGCGCTCGTGTCCGCTCGTGTCCGCTGGGGGCACGGCCCCCCTGGCGCTCGTGTCGAGCGGTCGCCGGCAGGCCGAGCTCTGCCCGCAGCGTGGGGGGGACTGGGCGGGGGGCCGGTGGCCTCTGAGGCCCCAGCTGAAGAGCAGACGCAGGGTCACCTGTCCTGCGACCCCCATGCAGACGGTGTCGTGGCTGGCTGGTGTGATTGTGCTCACAACCGTCTCAGGTGCTCTCTTGGCCGAGCAGAGGTCTCTGCAGGGCCTGACGCAACAGGCAGCTGACGCGTCCCTGAAAGTGTCAAAACAAATAACTGCTGGTGAGTCTCACAGGGTGAGGTGGGGGGCTGACGTTCCAGAGTGAATCTGGAGGATTCGGGGGTAAACGGGAGGGAGAGTAGGTGGGGGTGGAATCAGGGGCAGGTGGAAGGGGGTTATTCTTGTCTGGATTAACTCCATTCATGCACTGGTCCGCTGTGGGCCGAGTCTGATGATGACTGTGAAGCCCTGTGGAAGGTCACGGTGAGGTCGTGGTCAGGACAGGAGAACTGGGGGGCCTCTTGGATCCCCTTTGTTCTGACCCGCTCCCTGAAACGGTCAGCCAGTCCTCCTCCTGCCCCCCGCTGTAAGGAGGGAGATGGCCGGACGAGCGTGGTGCCTTCTGGGGGGGCCGTGTGGGTGTGGGGGTGTGAGAGTGAGGATGTGTGGGCTGTTGCTGAGTGAGGGTGTGAATGTCTGGTGGCAGTGTGTGT